TATGTCGACAAGTGTTGTTTGATAAAGCTGTCTCCATGACAGTTTTGACAGGCTGTGTCCTTCCTTCGAATGAACGGAGATCAGTTTTGACTCGGGGCGCACGAACGTAATTACAACTTGCGTGCACAGCACAGTGCACACTGATGTACGTTTTTCATGCGCGTTGTTTTGTGTGTCTGTTTGTTTATCTAAAAATTGATTGTAAAAAAAGAACTTTTGAACAAAACACAATAAATTGATCGTTAATTGATCAAAATACACTTATCGCTGAACTAAGATGAATGATAAAAAGGAATAGTAAACGTTGATGAAAAAACACATGATAGAACAATGAATGTAATAAACTTTTGTTCATCTCACTTCCGAAAGCTTTTCGAAACTGTGAACATAATGTTAAGAATATTTCACATTACGTGCTCAGATTTTGAACAAAATGTTAGTTAATTAGTATTGCTTTCGGTGGCTTGATAGATATTACGAAAAAACTGAAACTAAATTTTTGACTACATTTTTTTAGCAAGAAACGGTACAGTATACAACGTACAGATTTTAGTGTACAGTGTACAACGTACATATGTCAGTGTACAGTACAGTGTACAGTACAGTGTACAGTACAGTGTACAGTACAGTGTACAGTACAGTGTACAGTACAGTGTACAGTACAGTGTACAGTACAGTAGTGTACAGTACAGTGTACAGTACAGTGTACAGTACAGTGTACAGTACAGTGTACAGTGTACAGTGTACAGTGTACAGTGTACACTGTACAGTGTACAGTGTACATTGTACAGTGTACATTGTACAGTGTACATTGTACAGTGTACATTGTACAGTGTACAGTTTGCAGTGTACTTTGTACAGTGTACAGCGTACATTGTACAGTGTACAGTGTACAGTGTATAGAGTAAATTAATTGTACAGCGTACATTGTTTGCCCTTGTTAGTTCATTTACCATTATATCATTGTGTAAACCTATAGGAAATCGTTATCACTTGATAGAGCTAATGGTTATAAAAACATTAATTAATAATAATAATAATGTTTTTTCAAAGAACATATATTTTCTTTATGTCGCCTAATTTAGGTCAACATATAAATTATTTTTTTACTTTCAGAATTTTTACAATTTTTTGGCAAACAAGCTAAGTTTCAGACGACTCCCTCCATGTATTGTATACTCCCTTAAATTAAATTAATTTTTCTTTCTTATTTACATATGTTTATTGTTCAACCCCCCCACCACATATTATATAAATTATATAAGATAAAATAGATTGGTAGCGTAATTTAAAATGACCCTTTGTTAAAAAGTGTTGTCTAAGATTCACCAGTTTGACGGAGATATCTATGTTTTTTCGGATCTGAAAATAAAATGGAAACTTTTGAACTAAAACGTCCTAAAACCCCTTTGCTCTCAACAATCACAACCATTTGTTTTCAGTAAAAGGTATTAGCAAAAACTTAATGAATATTAGTCTGTCTACAGTTTTAGATCCGGATCCGGATCCGGGTCCGTTTTTCATTGGACGAATCCAGGATTCGCATCAAAATGAAATGGTTGCTAAGAACTAGCTTTTGAGAAGTAAAGGAATTGAGTCTTTTCCACAAACTCAATTTTCTAATCTCTATATATTTGGAACCTGATGATGTAAACCTTTGATATTTCAAACTTAGATTATTTGATCTAACAGAATTAATAGTTTGAAACAACTATGATCTACGACCTTTGGTTGCAAAGAGAGATTAGAAAATCTGAGTTTGTGGCAAAGACTCAATTCCTTTGGAATTGTAAATTGTAGCTCTGGATTTGCACCGAACCTTGAAGAACTTCTTGACGTAGTTAAAAAAAAGCTTGTAATTTGTACCACAACTGAAAATAATCAATTTTAGCTAGACAAATAAGAATATTTCATTCATTCTTGGTTCGTCAAAGGGTAGGGTCAGTGCTTAGGATCCATTTAATTTTGATGTGGATCCGGATCCTAGATCCTGGATCCGCGATCTTTAAGATTCACTGAATTTTTAAACAAAAAATGATTTTCAAATTTTTTTTTTACGCTTGTTTTTATCTTTAAACTTGATAAACCATTCAGAAATGAGGAAATTTTTATAATCTCTCTTTTTTCAAAAGTTCAGAATTGGGGTTTAAGAGTAAACAAGTTTTTTTTTCAATTTTTGGTTGATATTTTACCCCTTAGATCCTAAGCACTGGGTAGGGTATTATTATTATTATTATAAAGATTTATTCACACACAAAGATATAAATACAATATATACAAAGATAAATACAATATATACAAAGAATAATACAAGGTATACAAAGATAAATACATTGTTTTAAATGGGAGGTCATTCAAAATTTCTTGTACAGTTCCTTGAAGATTTGACATTTCCATTTACCTGTAAACCTGCAGTAATTGCATTAAATTAAACTGTTCAGATTTGGTCAAATTTGGATCCAAAATTGGAAATTATCCGTGGTATTACATTTACCATTATCCGCGTTCATTCTAGATATCTATCTATTTATATATCTACATCTATTTAGATTTTAGTTATCTATATATATCTGAAGCGGGTTTTTCTCTTTTTTTAACATATCCATTAAAAGCATGTCATGTTTTTTTTACATTTTGTTTAAAATCAAATTAATTGTTTTATTAACTATAAGATTCTAGTTGCATATTTAATGATCTTTTTGTTTACTTGTTTAAATAGTTCAAATACATTTTGACTATCTGTGTATGCCGAAATTGATCTAGTTAATATCAGTCCAGTGTCTAGACAGTATTTTGCTGCTGATTTTACAATCTTTTATCATGGATTAATCCTTTAGCTTGAGTTCTTAGAATTATTCTAAAATATAAAAATAATTTAAAACGATCCGAAAACGATTGTTACCTTCGTAATTGCATCGTTTTGTGGTCTTTTTTTTGCATCTTTTTGGGGTATTTTTTGCATCGTTTTGGGTTTTTTTGCATCGTTTTGGGATATTTTTTTGCATGGTTTTGGGGTCTTTTTTTGGCTTCGTTTTGTTTTTTTTGCTTCGTTTTATTTTTTTTGCATCGTTTTGCGATATTTTTTGCATCGTTTTGGGATCTTTTTAGCATCGTTTTGGTTTGTTTTGCATCGTTTTGAAGTCTTTTTTTTTTGCATCGTTTTGGGATCTTTTTTTTGCATCGTTTTGGGGTCTTATTTTGCATCATTTTGGGGTCTCTTTTTGCATCGTTTTGGGGCCTGTTTTTTTGCGTCGTTTTGGGGCTTTTTTTTTGCATAATTTTATCTTCTATTAGGGTCAAAAATTGGCATAGAGTAAAAAGAAGAAGAATTTTTTAAACATTTACTTTTCTTAAACTATGTCAAATTTTGGTAATGGTACCGTTGTGCATCCGATATTCCACTCTATAGGAGGGTCCCTTAAAGTCCCTTTAAAGAATTAGGAAGATTTTTAAAATTAATTTATTTACATGCAGTATATAAGACAAAAAAGGTGTTGACATCAAAAATCTTGAAATGTATTTGAAAAAAAAATAAAACTGAAAAATCGTTGATAAAAACAAACATAATTTGATAAAATAAAACTACTACATGGGAAAAAATATTTTTTTGTGGTCCACATTTTGTGGCTTTTTCTTAATTTGTCTGTCAGTCTGTTATTTTATCAGTGTCGGTCCGTCATGTTTTGTGGTTGTCTGTCGGTCTGTTATCGTCTGAGCTGTCCTATTAAGGCAAACTATCCAAGGTCAAGTAAAGCCAAGAGCAAGCAAACATTAAGGCATAATAATAATAAAACAATATATTTTTCTAACTTTGCCTATGTCATTAGAATTTTTTATATTTTTGTTGTAAAATTACATATTATCTCCGTTAATCCTTTGTATTATTGTTTTGTGAGAGAGATAATTTTAAATGTTAGAAGTTGTTGGTATTGATTCGATGAGTCATAGTCCATGGAACTTAACCATGCCGAGAATAGGGGTGTAAACACTGCAGACAAACAATGTGGGGGGGGGGTAATAATTATTTACAACTACTTTACATTGAAGTTAGGGAAATTTTATTTTACCAAGGGCTCCCAAGACTAATTTTGCCTACAAAACATCAAGAGTGCAGCGAGGGTTGTTTAGTAGGCAAAATTGGTCGAGGGAACCCTTGGTTAAGTAAAAGTAGTTGTACACAATTTTAGCGTCTGCGCGAATTTAATCACGAAAACTTCACAGAGCGGGTCGTTATTTTTACTTAATTTTCCTAAGGGACGTAAAGTAACGTAACCTCCCTCTGTTGGGGGAATCGTAGGTCGGTAATATTTGTCAAAAGGCGGTAAATTGTGTTATTTGTACTACGCAGGGACGTAAAATAGTCACCAAGTTTGTATTTACAAAAAAGGGAGTAAACTGTTAAGTTGTTCAAAGTCAAGGTATTATTTTTCAAGGAGGGTCCAAGGGGGAGGGGAGGAGACTGTTATATATTTGATTTTAAAGGTTAAATAAAAACAAATATCTTATCAAATTTGTGATTATTGTTCAGCATGCAAAAATTTTAATTATAAACGCTGTGGAGACAGTATCCCCCCCCCCTTATTTGCTTTTAACCGTTTGCAGAGATGGTTTTTGTGCAAAAATTGATATTTGCAATTACAATTTTCTCTGTTAAGCAGGAAACTGGCGATTAAAAAGGAATTAAGTTCTTGAACTCGGGTTTCTTTAGAACAACTTTTTGTCAGTTTAGAGTTTTTGTGAAGTATGGATTGTTAACAAAAACTACAGTTACATGAGAAGGGTAACGCCCCCAACCCCAACCCCTTCCACCCACCTAATCCTAAATTCATGTTACATTTATGCAATCACATTTTTTTCTGAAATATAAAATTTGTTTAACTGTCTTAGACAAATTAGACAAAATAGAAGCAAAATTTGTATTCGTGACATTCGTTTATGCATCATCTTTTAATTTGATAATATATCTATCTTATCTATCTATCCTTCTATCTATCTATTTATCTAGGGACCCAATACTGCAGTGTCTTCATACATACCAAGCCAGTATCAATACTAGAGAGCTGTTGGAGAGCGCCACGGTAGGACACTTTTAAGTCGTGGATATTGTATTGAAAAATACCCCCCTCCCCCCAAAAAAAAATACATTTTTGTCTATGTCGCCCCCCTGGGTTTCTTCCAAAAAAAATATCAGCTAATTGTTGGGATAAAAAGTATTAAAAAAAGAAGGGAAAAAAATATACTTGAGGTCAGTTCAATTCTTTTTATCAATTTTCACTTTTCAAGATATTTGTAAAAATTTGGATTAAAAAATCCTTTTCTTGAAATTTAGATCTTTTGACAATAAATGTATATCAGTGCCACGACAGTCCTGAATAATTAAAAAATATTTTTATGACATGACTGAAAAAAAGGTGTATGAAAATTTTAGAGAGAAGCTGATTATTTGTCTTTTTTTATTAAAATCCCTATATTTTTGCAACCTGACCGTATAAACCTTTGCTATTTCAGTCTTTCTGTATTATTAAAGGGCAACATCGTGTTGTAAAGAAGCACGAATTAGAAAATTATAGTTTGAGGCTAGTATTCAGTTCCTTTCTGTCTTTCTTTTAATTTGATATTAAAAGAAAATTGTTTTTGTTATTAATGGCAGCCTTCCCTCCCCTCTCAAGTTCTAAACAGGGTTAAATATTATTACAAATATTTTGAAAACCTATAAAGTAGAAAGTTTTTAAACACGTTTGCCTTAAAAAAGAATATTTTTGGGGAAAAAGTTTAAAATATTTTTTAAACGATCATTCTAAAAAGGGGGTTTAATTTTCCCCTTGAGACACTTTTTGCCTTGTCTCAATTTGTTTTTCAGATTTTAAACTATAAATGGTTTATCGGTTTAACTCTTTAAACTGTTTATAGATCCACCGACCTAGGAAAAAACGGTTCTTAAAGGGACCGTACACGTAACTATGAGTGGCTTTTCGGATTCACAATGGTACCAATATAAGTTTATAAGTTTTAAAAAAGAGATCAATTTTTTTCTTTTTTAAAACTTATTTTCAATGGTCCTTCTCTACCAAACGTTTCACGGGTACTGTATGTACGGTATGTACAGTATGCACGGTATGTACGGTATGTACGGTATTTAGGTATTTACGGTATCTAGGTATTTACGGTATTTACGGTATGTACGCTATGTACGCTATGTACGCTTTGTAAACGCGTTGTGCTTTTTTCTTAAGTGTGTCCGATTTAAAAAGAATGTTGTTACTTAACATTGATACCATTTATCAGTTTTAAATACAACTACATACTAATAATTGAAAACTTTTTGAAAATTCTATGAAAAACTACTCGAAAGTTAAATGAAAACTTCTGGATGATTGAGCGTAAACTACTCGAAATTTTAATGAAAAACTACTTGAAAATTCAATAAAAACTACTCGATAATTCAATGAAAGCTGTTCGAAAATCAAAACTATTGCATGACGACAAGGGTCTGAAAACCTCGCATGATGTATTTTTACGAGATTTAAATTTCGAAATACTAATTGTTTAGACGTAATTTGAGATTCAGGCATGATCTTATTGCGTTGTAATATGAATATTTATAACATAATTTAGTTCTAGAATAACCGGACCGTTTTAGGAGACTCAATCCTATTCGAATCTAGGCACAAAGAGATGCCATCTAAACTATATTTTGCATATGGTAGTTTTAGGGAGAAGAGGCGGGGGGGGGGGGGTAATGTCTTAATAAATTGAATGATATAAAGTATCATTTTAGAGGTCTAATAAATTAATCTTAATACTTTTATGAAAACCTTCCTGCTTCCTTCCAGGATATGTTTAATTCTTTAGCTGAACCAAATAGAACAAAATCATATAAACTTGAGCGAGTTCTCTTTAAAACCCTAGAAAGTTTTCCCTCTGCCTTATTTCCAAAAATATGGAATTCTATTGAATTAGAGCTTAAAGAAACTAAATCTGCAAAATCGTTCAAAAGAAAAGTCGCCAAGATCTATTTAGATAGTTATGCAAATTATATCTGTAAAAAAAAAAACTGTGTATCATGTGGATAAACTTAGTCTTTACTATCTTCTTCACCCTGTAGTTCATAAACATGATTCTAATAACTTATGTTACCCTCTGTTCCAACCCTTACGCTGAGTATCCTCCCTTTTCTTTATACTCCCTCACCTCCTCCTTACCTTTTACCTGATTTATTATCATTCTTATGTTTAAAATGTACAATGTACATTGTTTTTATCTGCAATTCTCATTCGTTTATAGTGGGCCAACCAATTAAAACAACCTACTCTGGTTAGGCGGGTCCAAACTACATAGTAAATTGTGATTTTTTATTTGTATTATCTCGTGCTTTGTAGTTGAATAAAAATATGAAATATGAATCCGATAAAATTGTTACAAAACTTTTCTCCGTTTGGTTTGTTTTTTAATTGGTTCGATTTTGTCACTTGAAAAAATCTATACATACATTACCCAAGGTACTAATGCAAGGAAAGTTATTTCAGAGGTGTACGCATTTTTTGTACTGCAGTGCAGTGTACTGTCTTTGGGCGGAAAAGTAAACACAAGACGGATGTCACAGCCTGCCATGGAATCAATTTTTACAAAAATAGTCTATGAAATATTCTGGTCATAGGAAACTACAATGTGAATTTTCAAAATTATCAAAATTAAATGCTTTAATCCTCCTCGGATATTAGGCGAACACTGATGCATCTATTCTTTTTTACAAATTACGCCCAGGCAGAGTATACGCGACCGCAATTAACTTTTCTTGCATTAGTACCTTGTATACACCTATATTCCTAACTTGCTGCTTATTTGTCTACATACCTATATATCTATCAGCTACACAATATCTTGCTTATCTTGTTTATCTCTCTATCTTTCTATCTGACTTCCTCAATCTTATTAATTCGTCCCGTCCTAATTTTTCTATTTTCTCGCACTGTGGTGCTTGTACAATGAAGGATGGTTGTAGTAAGGGGGACCACAAAAAAAACTTTTGAAAATTATGTTTTACCAAATCGATTTTTTAACAGTACAAAATTGCAGAGTTTTTTTTCTTATTTCATTTATACAATTGTTGTAATGACTGAATTTTGAGACACCCTGTACAGAAGGACAGATCGCGAGACTAATCTGCAGATGGGCGGATCTGATAAAGTTCTAAGTTTCTTCATGACAACTCAGAATTTCACACGAATCACAAGTGATCCCTCTCGAGGCTGGTGAAAATATATATTTTATCTGTTAAATAAATAAGGACGGATTTTGGAGGGGTTGGTTAGGGATTGGTAAGGGTGTGGAGAGGGATTGGTAACGAATTTGGGAGGGATCGGGGAGGGGAATGGTAAGGGAGTGGGGAGGGATTTGGGTGGTATCGGTGAAGGATTTGGGAGGGATTTTTTTTGCCTGTTTGCCTGTTCTACATATCGACATCAAGTAGGTTTCATATTTATATATATTTAAATATAAGAAACAGCTTTTACCAATCTTAATCTAAAAATCNGGGGTGTTGACTAAATTACGATTTTTAATTCTAAATTTGGAATCAGCGAGCTATACATATATTAAAATTTTATTTGAATGTTTTTAAAAGGTGGAATTACGTAAACACAATTCTCAGTCCCACATCCGCTCATTTGCAATTTATTTTCAGAATTGCGTAGCGGAGCTTACAAAATCCATTCAGAAGACAACAATAAGTTTAGCGCATTTTTTTTCAAATTTTCTAGTCTTTTTGTCAATAAATCAAAATATTTTTAATGGAAAAAAAGTATCCCTGTTTCTTATTTAATCTTTTTTACAAGTAATTTAATGACTCCAAGACATAAGTTTAATAGCAAGTGTTATAGCTCGAAAAGTCATTAAAAATTATAATGATAAACCATTGTACGCCTCAAGGCCTTTGAGCTTAACTGTGTACATAAATCATGTGCCTGGTTTGTTTTCTAAAAAAATATAAAATTGCCTCCGGCAGATTTTCTAATCTATTAATAAGTTAAATCTAAACTCTGGTATCCTATATATATACACGAAACCGGAAGAGCAATTTAGGCTTGACCAAGATTATTGCCGTGGGTAACTTTGTAAAGGAGAGTTTGCCAAATAGACCTGTTCTTGTATATTTGCATTGCATAGGATACAATTCAATATTTGGAAAACTCATTTTAAAATTTGCACAAAACCTACCTCATGCGAATAATATTTTTGCAAAGCTCTAGTTCCAGTTAAAGAGTGCTGATCCCTGCAAATCTACTGGTAGAGAGATAGTATTACTGAAATCTGACTCAATGATATGAATTCAATACTGAGATTACGAGGGCTTTATATAATTATAAATGGAAAAGACTGATAAATTTTAATTTAGGGAAAAAAAAATGTAGAGAAATTTTTAGATTTTGACAATTCCTTACTATTTGTGCTTTCAAAAAATTATTCAAGAAATATGATTATTTTTGTAAACTTTCACTTTATCTGAGACGCTTTGCAACCAAGGATGTTTATTAAGGTTGCTTACTCTTAATGCGCTCCATTGTACGGAAAATGTCGTCTTCTAAGCATTACTTAGTACAGACCGACAGAAATTCAGAAAGAGACAATTTCTCGCTATTTTCTCGTTCTTCTTTATCAATTGCGGTTTGTTTGTCTATTACACTCCTTGTCTAGCTGCTGCCTATATTCGCCGTCTCGCAATTGATATTATCAACATTTAGATAGAAAAACATGAATATATCCATCATGTAACCTAAAATTACATTGACGGTGCCTTTAATTTTCGAATATACTTGGGAAAAGCAATGTAGTGTACAACTACACAAATGTACAAGTTTACTGTCATGCATTAGCTAAATTGTCAAAAAAATACCCGCCAACTCACTTTTTAAAATATTTTTCAGGATCCAGATCTAAGCTGGGACGAAACTGACCTACCCAGCCGGTGTATCCAGGTAAAAAATAAAAGAAATGATAGTTGTGATTTTAAAAATAATAATAATGTTGAAATCGGAGATTAAAAGAGGTTTGTTGAGATTTTTAAGCTTATCATATATAGCATATCATATTTACCGCAAACTCTGCATTTTTAAATCCAAATAAACTAATCTTATTTATTTTATAATTGTTCTAAAAGCAACCCAAAGTGTTCACAATTTTATATTGAAATTGATGATACTACGATAACCATGATAACAACAGTGCTAATGATAATGATGATAATGATGATAATGATACCACATGAAAGCTACTATGATAACTATTTTACTATTGTAAATGATTATATCAATGATACCAATGTTAGTGTTAAAAATGATACAATTGATGATACTGTTTAAAATGATGATTCTAATGATGATGTTATAATAGCAATGATACTGTTGATAACGATGATAAAAATGATACTAATAATATTGATGATAATGATAATACTATGATAGCAATAATACTCTTGATAATGATTATAATAATGATCAATAAAAATGATAATAATGATAATAATGGTTCCAAATACACTAAAGATACTAATGATAACAATAATTCATAAAAACTTATGATGATAACATTGCAACTTGTGATAAAGATGATAAAAATGACAATTATGATACAATTGGAATTAATGATAATATTAATATTAATATTGTTTTTAATCTTTGTAAGGAAACAGTCTCAAGAACTGATGAGGGTCAACCCAGACCGAAATATATTTTCAATAAATGTGGAACTAACATCTACTTTTTTACTCTACAGAGGTTTGGTCCATCACCATCACCGAATTTTAAATAATAATAATGTTGTTACTAACGATATTATCAATAGGTCTGGTCGTTCAACGATTTTATGGAGCAGTATAATCAAATCTACACATGGCTAAACAGTATACAGGTATTACAAATAAATCACATTAAAGTATTAAAAAGTTTGAATTTTTATTTATATTTAAACATATTGAAATGCATTGGGCTAGAATTATAACTGATCACTAACCTCAAACTTCTTAAAGCTTTGCCTGATCTTTTAAAATGGAGGGTCACTTAAAATTATGCCAACAGTCCCTTTAAGTTACAATTGACATTGTCTTTCATGGAGAAATGGAAAGGGGTACCCCAGTCAATGAAGTTGAACAAGCCGTTGTAGCTAAACCAAATAGATTATCAAGTACAATAGATGGGAACGTAGAATTTGTACACTCTCAGTACAGCAGTATTCTCACGTCACAAGTGTCAACAGTTCTATGTGTCCGACAAAATTACTAATTCTTGTGATAATAAAGCTTGCTTATATTACTGTGATAAAAGTGCAATGTTGTGTTCTTTATTTTCTGTTTTTGCACTTTTTTATTTAATCTTGGTAAACATGTCAACTAATGGGAAAGAATGTTGTCTTCCTTGTTATATTTAACACTTTTGACGTCATGTATTATTGGTCCAATTCTCTGTTGCCACCTATTATACTTGATAATCTATTTTAGCTAAACTTTCTATTTTTAACTCGCTAAAAAGTGTTCTTCTTGGTTGGATATTTACAGTGGACAAACTGATAAACGAGAATATGAGAATTTATGAAAGAGATTGGGAAGAAGTCATGTAGGGGATAATCAAAATGATGGG